ATGGGGCTGGGGTTGGCCCACCCAGGAGCCTTAAAGGCCAGGATTTCCTCCGTGTAGGAGAAGGGAGACACCGGCATGGACAGAAGAGGTTGTTACGGCCCGAGGGCCTGACTGCGAGGATCAGTGTGACCCACGTGCGTCTGGCCTCACGTGCGGATGCGTTTCGTCAGACCTCAGCCCACTGACAAGGCCTGACGCCTCAGCACCCACGCTGGCCTTGCAATGCCACCTCTCACTGAGGGGAGGCGAGGCCTCCATGAAAAATGGCTTAGTCCAAGATGAGCCAGGAGTGTCAGACTGGCAGTAGCAGAGATGCCAGGTCCACAGGGCCAAGTTGAGAGGACCCAGCCGTCAACTTGAAGACATGCCGGCTGGCGAGGGGAGGGACGACTGGGGAAGGTAAGGGTAGCAATGGCGGTGGACTGAAGTATGGCACAGATGCGTAAGTCATGGACTGGATAAAAAGCAATAATGAAAAACTGTAAGATGAAAAATTATAAAAATTATAAGAAGAGGCCAGGAGCTGTGGCTCACTCCTGTAATCTCAGTACTTTGAGAGGCTGAGGCAGGAAGATCGCTTGAGTCAGGAGCTTGAGACCAGCCTAAGTGACAGAGACACCTCGTCCATACAAAAAATAAAAGATTAGCCAGATGTGGTGGTACACACCTGTAATTCCAGCTACTTGGGAGGCTGAGGTGGGAGGATTGCCTGAGTCCTGCAGTTGAAGGCTACAGTGGGTTATGCTCACACTCCCACACTGCAGCCTGGGTGATGGAGCAAGACTGTCTCAGAACCACACCAAAACCCACTTACCCGATCACCCTCTCTGACAGGGAACCCACCTCCCTGTTTAGAAAATTGGTCAGCTGGGCTTGGTGGCTCAGCCTGTAATCCCGTGCCTTTGGGAGGCTGAGGTGAATGGATTGCCTGAGCCCGTGGGTTCAAGACCCGCCTGGGCAGCGAGACCTCATCTCTACAACAAATCAAAAAATCAGCCAGGCGTGGTAGCGCATGCCTGTAATTTTGGCTACTCGGAAGGCTGAAGCGGAAGGATCGCCGGAGCCCAGCAGGCGAGGCTGCGGTGGCCAGAAGCGGCCACTGCACTCCGGTCTGGGCGACAGAGTGAGACTACAACTCAAAAAAAAAAAACAAAACTGGTCAATGCACGAGACGTGGGCATTTATCCTGCCTTCCCCAAGCAAAGGGCACCACTGAGCAACCAAGTGACAATCTGTATAAAAGCATTCCAGGCAGGAGTGGGGCTCACACTTAGAATCCCAGGGCTTCAGGAAGCCAAGGTGGGACAACTGCTTGAGGCTAGGAGTTCAAGACCAGCCTGGGCAACACAGTGAGCTCCATCTCTAAAACGGTGATCCAGCAAATGAAGAAGAAGTTAAGGACGGACCCCTCTCTTTGCCACGAGGGAGTGAGCCTGGAACAGCGGGGGCTGCCAACGCAGAGACAGGCCCTTGGGTGTCTTCTGGTGAAGGGAGACCATCTAAAGCGCAGGCTTCCCCCGAAACTCAGGGCTGGATCAGGCCTCTAGATCGAGCCACCAACTTGCAAAAAGGACACAGGACAAAGGAGATGCTGTACACGCTAGAGGGAAGCAGCAAAATGCACCCGAGGTGCCTTGGTGCCTCGTACACGGCGTCCTCAGATGAACGGCGGGGGAAGCACAGGGGCGGAAACGGAGCTTCGAAACAGAAGAAAAAGATTAGCCAGGCATGGTGGTTCACGCCGGTCATCCCAGCACTTGGGGAGGACAAGGTGAGAGGAATGCCTGACCCAGGGGTTCGAGATCAGCCTGGGCAACTTGGCGAGATCTTGTCTCTACAATAAATTAAAAAATAAGCCAGGCGTGGTAGCGTGTGCCTGTAGTTCCGGCTACTTGGAAGGCTGAGGCGGAAGGGTCGCCTGAGCCCGGCAGGTCGAGGCTGCAGTGGCCGGGAGCATACCACTGTACTCTAGCCTGGGCGACAGTGAGACTCTGACTCAAATTAAAAAAAGTAAAATAAATAAATAAACAAACCAGTGAGGCCTAAGCTGTTGTGTTTAGGAACATGTGCTCGGGTAATGAGGCCAGCAGGAGAGGAGTTGACCGCCGTGTGAGCTGGGCAGTGGTCATCCCAAGGAGGGGCCGGTGGGCTGGTGGCCAGGGAGTGGGGCGTGGAGGCCACTCAGCCTACCATCCACTGCCACTGTGGGGTAGCCAAGGGGGTTCCCCTAAGAAAACTCGATGAGTTGGGCATTTTTAAGTGTCGTGTTCTATTATTTTTTTGAGTTGGGGGTCTTGCTCTGTTGTCCAGGCCGGAGTGCAGGAGCAGGATCACGGTTCACTGTGGTCTCAACCTCCTGGACTCAGGTGATCCTCCTGCCTTAGCCTCCAAAGTAGCTGGGACTACAGACATACACTACCATGCCGAGATAATTTTTTATTTTTTGGTAGAGACATGGTCTCGCTATGTTGCCTAGACTGGTCTTGAACCCCTGGGCTCAGGAAATCCTCTCGCCTCCGCCTCCCAAAGAGCTAGGTTGACAGGCGTGAGCCATGGCGCCCAGCCTAAAAACTATTTTTCTTTTTCCTATTAGAAAGCATTATTTATTTATTTATTTTTTTGAGTTGGAGCCTCATTCTGTCACCCAGACTGGAGTGCAGTGGCCACTGAAGCCTCAACCTGCTGGGCTCTGGCGATCCTTCCACCTCAGCCTTCCAAGTAGCTGGAACTACAGGCGCGTGCCACCACGCCCGGCTAATTTTTGATTTATTGTAAAGATGAGGTCTCGCCAAGTTGCCCAGGCGGGTCTCGAACCCGCGGACTCAGGCCATCCACTCACCTCAGCCTCCCAAAGGCACAGGATTACAGGCTGAGCCACCGAGCCTGGCTGAAAGCATTATTTATCAAGAGGACAGAAAAGCTCCCACAGTGGGAGGAGACCCAAGGGGGTTGCCCAACATTATTTTTCAATGTAGATTTTGTTTTGAGTCAGAGTCTCACTATTGCCCAGGCCGGAGTGCAGAGGCATAATTGTGGTTCACTGCAGTCTTGAACTCCTGGGCTCGAGTGATCCTCCTGCCTCAGCCTCCTGAGTTGCTGGAACCACAGGCGCACACCACCACACCTGGCTAATTATTTTTTTTTTTTTTTCAGAAATGAGGTCTCCCTATGCTGCCTAGGCTGGTGTCAAACTCCTGCACTCAAACAGTCTTCTGGGCCTTGGCCTCCCAAGTGCTGGGATGATAGGCATGGGCCACTGTGCTCGGCTCAATTTGGTTCTACATACTGTACTTGTATTTCTTCTCCATAGAAGCGATTTTGACCTGACAACTGAGCACAGGAGAGATTCACGCGGATGGAATTTAATACACGGTGAAAACTTGGTACGTGCTAAGAGCAAGACCCTGAAGAGCGTTGACCCACGGTGCATATGGACACGATGCTCACATGCACAGGACACCGGGAAGGAAGGGGGAGAGGGGACCGGCCCGACTCTGCAAGCAGAGCTGAGCACGGTGGCGGCGGTGGGAAGGAGGTGCCACTTGCCACGGAGACATCTCGCTCAAGTTGTCATGATGCAAAGGCCGTGAAGCGAATTTAAAATGCAGCTGTGATCGGGGAAGAGCCCGCATGACCGCGTCTGAGCAAGTGGGTCCACGCCCCAGGCCGCCTCCACCCCCTCAAAACCCAACCCGGTCAGAGGCTCAGGACCCAGAGCCCCACCCGCTGACCCACCTGGCTCCCCAGCCGGCTGCGGGACCACACCGACCAGCTTGCCATAGTCGTCTCCTCTAGACTGCAGGTCGAAGTAGACGTTGCCTGTGTGCAAAGTGGTTGTGAGCTCAGCACTTCCCAGTCTGGGTGCTGGCCTCCCACCCCTGGCCAGCTCAACACCTGCCAAGTAGTGAGGGCTTAAATACACCACATGGCCCGTGGTCCATCTGTTTGCTTATTTAATTTATTGAGACAAGGTCTCTCTCGGTCGCCCAGGCTGGAGTGCAGTGGTGCAATCATCGCACACTGCAGCCTCGACCTCCTGGGCTCAAGCGATCCTCCTGCCTCAGCCTCCTGAGTAGTGGGACTACAAGTGTGCACCACCACGCCCAGCTTAGCATATGTCTTAACCAGAACCTAAAGCAACAATACTGTACTATAAAAGCATGCATCCGGACACATCATGAACGTGTGGATGTAATGGTGAAACACAAATGTAAATTCCCTGTAAAATGTTGAGATCATGTTTTAAAATCAGGCAAATGGAAGCAAGTGACCCACTGACGTCATTTACTCCCAGGCTCAGTGGCTGACCATGTCCGAGATGCATCTCCCCTCCAAGAGCTCCGCTTACTCAGAAACATCTCTGCACGCTGGGCGGATCCTTGAGGCCGAGGTGGTGGTGCCACGAGGCTGTGAAGTGGCCGTTCTGGCAGCAGAGGTCTGCACCCCCACTGCCCCCGTAGCCACATCTAGCAACACAAGGCTGGCGTCGGGCCTACACATGGGTGCCCCTCGCAACCTGGACACGTCGACCTTCACGTCCTTTTCCTTAGCAGTCGTTAATTCACGTCTGCGCCTCTTTGCTGTCTGGGATGATCAAGCACAGCAGACCCAGAACTGGTGCCACTGTGCGCAGGAACAGGACAGGCCCCTCACACAGGGTCAACTGACAGAGTGACCCGGGTAGCCCTGCCTGGCAGGGGCCTCTGTGACCACCAAGCTGGAGCCAGGTGCTGGGATGAGCCAGCTGGGACAGAGGAGGCACCCGGGCCTGGGAGCTGCTCTCTCCTGGGTCAGAAGGCACACACGGACCTGTAATCTAGCACTCTGGGAGCCTGAGGCAGGAGGACCAGGAGTTCAGACCACCTTCATCAATAGAGCGAGACCCTGTCTCTACAAAAAAAATAGAAAAAGTAGCTGGGCATGGTGGCACGCGCCTGTGATCCCAGCTACTCGGGAAGCTGAGGCAGGAGGATCGCTTGAGCCCAAGATAGAGACTACAGTGAGCTGTGATCGTGCCATGTGCACTCCAGCCTGGGTGATACAGTGAGACCTTCCAAGATTCCTTTGTTTTAGACCCTCTCTCTAAAAAAAGAAAAAAATGAAAACAGTGCTATAAAAAGACTTCAGAAGAGGAACCTACTTCCTTACAGAGGATGCGCTTGCCCGTGGCTTTGTTTATGTTGTCAATTTGCTGGACACATTGTTTTCCACCAATAGTTCAAAGATCAAATTACAGCCAAGCCCTGCGGACTGTCATGAAGTCCAAATGACAGGGGTTTGAGTGAATGTGGGTGTGTTTTGAGTTCAATTGTGTTTCTACTATCATTAAGACTTTACAATAAAACACAGGAGCAAAACACGGCGACCAACAGCACCCACTCCTGGAGCCTGGGAGGACGCACCTCGTGACTGTCACAATGTGTTTCTCAAACAGAAGCCAGGTTGCTGTGGCCTACGTCAATTTACACATGGACCAGGGAGTAATTCCCGTGCCTTCTGGTGTAACTCCAGTTCAATCAGCTGAGTCCTTTAAAGAAAGTTTTTCTCGGAAACAAAATCTAAATATGCCCAATGAGAGTAATGAAACCCACAGGACTCCAAGCACCTGGGCTCCTGGGGACTGCTCCCAGGCAGGACCCTGGAAGGACAGGCTCGTGCATGCCAGGTGCGGACTGTGTCAGAGTGTGGCTTCTCTTAGGTGCTCACGTGCAACTGGGCTGGCACTCTCAGGGTTACTCAGGCAACGGTCTGGGAATTGACAATCTGGAGGGGAACTAGGAATACATCAGTCAGTCCACTAGGGCAGCGTGGAGCTGGCTACCCAGCGGTACTGCAGACACCAACACTGAGAAAGAGAGTCCACGCACAGTGGTGACTGGCAAAGGGGAAGGCACGGCGTCAGGGTCTGCAGGACGGGGACTTGGATTTAGGCAGGAAGACCAGGCCAGGAGGGTGGTGGCTCACGCCAGTCATCCCAGCACTTGGGGAGGCCAAGGTGGAAGAATCACTTGAGCCCAAGAGTTCAAGACCCGCCTGGGCAACAGAGCGAGACCTCGTCTCTAAAAGAAATCAAACAACGAGCCAGGCGTGGTGGCGCATGCCTGTAGTACCAGCTACCCAGGAGACTTAGAAGGGAGGATTGCCTGGGCCCCGGGGGCTGAGGCTGCAGTGAGCTGTGATCGTGCCACTGCACTCCAGCCTGGGCACGATCAGACAGAGTGGGGGAAAGGAGGAGACTGGGAAGGGGAAGGCGTGGCTGAACTCAACAGAAGTAGCGAAACGCCAGGACCAGGCCACGCCTGCTCCCAGACGGCTGGCCGTGGAGGGGGCGTGGCCACGAGGACACCCGGGCCACCTGAGCACATGTCACGGGAGGACGCGGGCACCAGTCAGGACCGTGAGGCCCGCTGTCGTGGCGTGTCGGGGGCCAGAGTGGCAGAACACCCGAGGCTCCTGCTGGGCCCACGGCAGATGAGGCCACCCAAAAGGGCCCCAGCCGACTTGCAGCAAGAGAGGTGAGTCTCCGCAGCCACTGTGTTTGCAGCCCACATTCTGTTATGCACATTTTTTTTTCTCACTCTTCTTGCCCAGGCTGGAGTGCAGTGGTACAACTGCAGCTCACCACAGCTTCGAACGCCTGGTCTCAAGAAACCCTCCTGCCTCAGCCTCTCAAGCAAGGTGGTGCTACAGAGGTATACCACCACACCCAGCTAATTTTCCGATTTTTTTCTTTAAAGAAATGTGGTCTCACCACATTGCCCACGCTGGTCTTGAACTCCTGGGCTCAACCGATCCTCCCGCCTTGGCCTCCCAAAGTGCCAGCATGACAGGCACGAGCCACCGGGTCGGTCCTGGCATGCACATTTCTAAGCAAAGCTGAAGGCACACTAGGATGGACGCCTGGACACCTGCCCCCGGCTCCCACGACCGTGACTGAGTCCAGCGCTTCAGATGTTCACCTCTTCCTGCGACTGGCAAATATTTTGAGGAAGATCTGATTCAGCCAGCTCTCAGAGACAAAATTACGTGAGAAACCCCGCAAGTCTCACCGCAGGAGTCACACGGAGGCCACAGTGGCGCTCCCACAAGTTCCCGCACTCATGAACGAGAGCCTGGGTCTCTGGAGCCATCAGCGCTGCCCAGCGACCACCCCAGTGCTGCAGCCCTACCTTTGGCCGTTGAGTAGGCATGTCCGTGGGCCATGATGCCTTCCACAAAGGAGATGATCTGCGGAATGTTCTCGGTCACCCTCAGGGACGCCGTGGGCGGGAGGACCTTGAAGAGGTGGGGCTGGGGCTAAGCTGTCTGTGTGCAGACGTGCCGGGCGGCCAGCCTCCCTCCCGCTGGCATGAGGCCACAGCCTTACCTTCAAGGCAGCCATGTCTTGCTTAAAGTCTTCCTCGTAAAGACTGGCCAGAGATGCAGGTGAGATGTTCATCTGTGAAGGACGAGGTACACGTGTTAAAAGAGTCTGGAACATTCACTACAGAACCACAGACTGGCTGAGCGCAGCAGCTCATGCCTGCAACCTCAGCACTTTGGGAGGTCAAGGTGGGAAGAATGCTTGAGGACAGGAGTTAGAGCCCATCACGGGCAACACAGTGAGACCCATTTCTACAAAAAAAATTAGCCAGGCATGGGGGTGTGTGTCTGTAGTCCCAGCTACTTGGAAGGCTGAGGCAGACGGATTGCCTGAGCCCAGCAGGTCAAGGCTGCGGTGGCTGGGAACAGCATGCCACTGCCCTCCAGCGTGGGTGACAATGAGACTCCGAATGGAAGAAAAAACAAAAAAAGCTGAAGGGGCATCTCTGCAGAAGTGTTTGGGAAGTAACTGATACTGAAACCGAGATTGTAACAAGGTGTGATGCCCTGGCGGCTCTCTGGGACTGCCATCAAGGCAGTCCCCGTGATGCTGAATGAGGGCGCGTGCCAGGGTCACGTCTGCAGTCTCCACCCCTGCCACGGAGAGCCGACATGACGCTGGCTCCACGCGTGTTGCTGCATCAAGGCACGTGGCAGGCACGCGGCACTGGGACGCGCCCGCCTGCCAAGCCCCACGGCTGCGGCCCGCACAGCGCCCGCTCCGTGCACCTGCCTGCCCTGTCCACCTGCAGCCCTGAAACAGGCCTCCCACTCACAGCTGAAAGAACCTCCACTCCGGGGTGTCAGAAACCTGCTCAAGTGAAAGGTGACACCGGCCTGGTCCCAGCCCTGTGACCCGAGGGGACTCGAGGCTGGTGCTCCTCCCACCCAGGGCTCTGAAACGGCTCAATCATCCCAGAGACCCTGGCCTGTAGAGACTCGCTGGAGAAAGCAAGCTGGGGAAGCTGGCGTTGCGTCCCAGGGGTCTTTTCAGCGCTGCGGTCTTGGGCAAATCAGTAATCTAAACCTCTCCGTGGGCACAGTGGCTCACGCCTGTCACCTCTGTGCTCAGGGAGGAGGAATGCTTGAGTCCAGGGGTTCAAGACCAGTCTGGGCAACAGGGCGAGACTGCTTCTCTACAATAAACCAAAAAATTATCTGGGCATGATGGTTCTAGCCTGTAGTCCCAGCTATTCGGGAAGTTGAGGCAGAAGGACCGCCTGAGCCCAGGAGTTTGAGGCTGTAGTGAGCCAGGATTGTGCCACTGCACTCCAGCCTGGGCGACACAGTGAGACCTCATTTCTAAAATTAAAAAATAAAATAAATAAGAGATAAAAACACTTAAAAATAGTAAACGCTAAACCTCTTGGCCCTTGATTTATTTGCAACGTGGAGACAATCCCATCCGAGACTGCAATGGAGATTCCATGTAGGGACAGGTGAGGTAACATTGTAAAAGAAAACGCAATGTTGTTTTCACTAATAAAGGGATAAAACTCGCAGGACCCGGCACCTGGCTGGCACTCCCCCACACATCAGGCTTCTTCCCGCAACACAGCCCTGTGGCCCACAGACCTTCTAAACCTCGAAGCAGTTACTCTCCATCTATCCACAGGGCAAAGGCCACACAGAAAGCCTGGAAACCATCTTCTGCTGCCCAGGAACTGCCGATACCATGCAGGCCAGACCCACAGGTCAGTTGGCTGCTTCATCCATCTCTGCTGATGCATGGGTCACTCATTCCCAGGGGAAATTCAGGTGGCAGAAGCAGCGCCCAGACTCAGCTTTCAGCCCAGAAGGAAACGCCGTGAGTAGCAGGAATGCCCGTCCATGTCTTGGCGTCCTTTTCTCAGAAGCCCAAGGGCAGCCCCCTCCACACTCCTTCCTTCCCTGGCAACTCGGCCGCCAGGAGCCGGGAGACCTGGCCGGGCCAGACGCCGAGTGGCCTCACTTGGTTGAGGCTGCCTCCACTCTCCTGTCGACAGCTGCCCAGCGGGTCTGGCCAGGTACATGTGCCAGCTGTGCACGCCTCCCCTCGCATGGGCCCACGAACTTCTCTGAGCCATGCCCTAGGGAGGTGGTGGCCAGGCAGAGCAGGTGCACGGGGACCCGCTGGCAATGCCAGGCTGCCTTCTACGGGAGCGGTGCCCATCTGCACCGGCTAGCAGGCCCTGAGGTGTCTCTGCCCTCAGCTGGCAAACCTTCAGATGTGCCAGTGTCATCGCTGGCCAACGCTTTTCTGACATGATTTTGTTTTTACCTTTCTTTTTTTAAATTTTTTTTGAATTGGGTCTTACTCTGTTGCCCAGGCTAGAGCGTGGTGGTACAATCAAAACTCACTGCAGCCTTGACCTCCTGGGCTCAGACGATCCTCCTGCCTCAGCCTCCTGAGTAGATAGGACTACAGGTGAGTGTCACCACACCTGGTTAATTTTTTGTAGAAACGGGGTCTCAATATGTTGCCTAGGCTGGTCTTGAACTCCTGGGCTCAAGCAATCCTCCTGCCTCGAATTCCCAAAGTGCTGGGATGACAAGCGTGAGCCAACACACCTGGCCTCTCCTAAGTTTGAACATTTTCTCAGGTGTTCAGCAATCATGTGCATTAAATGATCTATCATTACTCACACTCCTTTTGAGTGGGGGGCTCTTTCTTATCAACTTGTAGGAAGAATTTTTATGTTAAAGAAATCAACCTTTTTTTTTTGAGTTGGCATCTCATTCTGTCGCCCAGACTGGAGAGCAGTGGCACACTCCTGGCCACCACAGCTCAACCTGCTGGGCTCAGGTGATCCTTCCACCTCAGCCTTCCAAGTAGCTGGAACTACAGACGCACGCCACCACGCCTGGCTAGTTTTTGTGATTTATCGCAGAGACGAGGTCTCACCAAGTTGCCCAGGCTGAACCCGCAGGCTCAGGCCATCCACTCACCTCGGCCTCCCAAAGGGCTGGGATTACAGGCTGAGCCACCGAGCCCGGCTTGAAATCAACCTTTTATCTCTGATGTGATTCAATTTTTTCCACAGTTTTCCAATTTGAGTATTTTGTTGCACATGAAATCTTTCATTTTCATATTCGGCAACCTTTTATGTTTCCGAATCTTTTCCCGTAAGTGGCTTCTGGGTTTGGAAACAAACTGAGAAGAGCTTTCCCCAATATGAGGCTATAAAAAGTGCCCCGAGGTTTCTTCCAGTGATTGTGGTTTCATTTCTTTTATCTTATACCTTCGATCTGCCTCAAGTTTGGATGGAAGGCACAGATCCAACTTTGGTTTATTTTTTCCTCCAGATGGCCCCCCACCTGTCAGCGCTCTTTACTGAATAATCCGTCGTTTTCCCCCGCTGGTTTGAAATGCCGTCTTCTATCATAAAACAACTCCACTCCTGTTAACTATTGGGTCTATTTCTGGGCTTTCTCAGGTGGTCCACTATCTGTTTATTCATGCTGTCAGCAACGCTTAGTTTCTACAGCCTTCAGAGCGGCAGACCAGTGGATGCTCAGGGCCGGGGAGGCCGGGGGTGGCAGGGAAGGATGAGGGGGTGAAAGCACACTTTAGGAGGGACGAATCCGGCCGGGCGTGGAGGCTTACACCTCTCGTCCCAGCACTTTGGGAGGCTGAGGTAGGTGATCACTTGAACCCTGGAGCTCGGGACCAGCCTGGGCAACAGAGTGAGACCCGGCCTCTACAAAAAATCAGCCGGTGTGGTGCGCCCGCAGTCCCAGCTACTTGGGAGGCTGAGGCGAGAGGACTGCTTGAGCCCTGGAGTTCCAGACCAGCCTGGGCAACAGAATGAGACCCTGAGTGATGATACACAGTGACACCGTGCAGAACAAGAGTGCAGGACAAACATGTTCCATGGCTTGAAACATGTCGCAGCCCTCGGGCGGCCTCCATGGTGCCGCTGCACGGACCGGTCCTGCTCCTGCTGGTCCACGTGAACTTTAGAACCGGCTGGGTGCGTGGCTCACGCCCGGTGAATACTGGAGTGCCCAGTGGGCCTCTGGTCTCCACTGTGCTTTTGGGTGAGGACACTTAGGCATGTCCTTCCCTGTCGTGCACCAAGGGACAGTGGTCATGTGTACCCGGGGAGTCTATGTGGGAAGAGAAGCCAGAGCAGCCTGGAGGACTCAGGGGTCGACACAGGGCTGGCACAGTGGCTCGTGCCGGTGACTCCAACACTTTGGGAGGCCAAGGTGGGAGGACCGTTTGAGCCCAGGAGTTTGAGACAGCCAGGCTAACATAGTAAGACCCATCTCTATTTTTAAAAAAATTCAAAGTATAAGAACAAAACGAATGAGCGTGTCTAGTTCTGGAGGGAACAATCACACAGAGGCCTAGACACGTGTACACTCTCGACAGCTCGTCAGGGAGAGGGCCCCTGCACCACAAGGCGCCCGTCTCTGCGGGGCCCCCCTGGCCGGAGAGCCCAACCTGGAGGACATCCTGGGATGTCCGCCCGACGTCACAAGGATGACGAGCTTTAGGTGGAACACAGTCTCTTGCAGCTGGTGTTGAGAGGAAAACCGTACTCCACAAGTCAGATTGTTACATTTCTGTTTTCCTTTTTGAGCCGGGATCTCACTCTGTTGCCCAGGTTGGAGTACAGTGACATGCTCCCGGCCACCGCAGCCTCGACCTGCTGGGCTCCAGCGATCCTTCCACCTCAGCCCTCCAAGTAGCTGGAACTACAGGCGCACACTACCACACCTGGCTCATTTTTGATTTATTGTAGAGATGAGGTCTCGCCAAGTAGCCCGGGTGGGTCTTGAACCTGCGGGCTCAGGCAATCCACTCGCCTCGGCCTCCCAAGGCGAAGACATGATACAATGGCTCTCCATGTCCTCAGGTTTTGTGTCTGTGGATCCAGCCAACCTCAGGTAGGAAGTATTACAACACAGAAGTCTGAGTATGGTGGCTCGTCCCTGTAATCTCAGCAGTCTTCCCAGTAGCTAGGACTACAGGCTTGTGCCCACACCTGGCTAAATCAAAATTTGTGGAAGGCTGAAGTGGGAGGACTGCTAGAGCCTAGGAGTTTGAGACCAACTTGGCAGTATCACGAGACCTTGTTTCTATAGAAAAATTAAAAAATTAGCTGGGCGTGGTGACATGTACTCATAGTCTCAGCTACTTGGGAGACTGAAGCAGAAGGATCGCCTGATCCCAGGAGGCTGCAGTGAACCGTGATCATGCCGCTGCATTCCAGTCAGGCAACAGAGTGAGACTCCAACTCAAAAATGAATAAATAAAGAAAGCAATAAGTAAATAATAAAGATACAAAACTTAAAAAAAATGCAGTGCAGCAAGTGCTTACAGGGCATTTACACGGGACTAGGTATTCCAGGTATCCCAGAGATGACCGAGTGTGTGGAAGGGTGTGCACGTGAAATGCAGGTCCTCGCCACTTCCTATCAGGGACGATAGCGTCCCATGCTGGTGAGGGGGAGGGCTCCAGAATGACCCCAGGGGATACGGAGGGAAAATGCACACATAGCGGAAGGAGTCCCAGCTCTTTGGGAGGCTAAGGTGGGAGGATCGTTTGAGGTCAGGAGTTTGAGACCAGGCTGGGCAAGATAGTGAGACCTTGTCTCTACAAAAAATGATAAAAAATTAGCCAGGCATGTGGTAAGCACTTGTAGTCCCAGTCATTCAGGAGGCTGTGGTGGGAGGATCTCTTAACCCCAGGAATTTGAAGCTGCCGTGGGCTAGGCTTGCAACACTCCAGTCTGGGACACAGAGCAAGACCTTGTCTCCTCAACAAAAAGCAACGGGAAGAGACCGAGGAGACATACAGGAGTCTGGAAGGGGTCCAGGAACAGGGAGAAACAGAGGCCCAAGGAGGGCGACACCTGGAGGAGCCGCAGATGCATAGCCAGCCTCAGTGTCAGCACCCTCGCCCGATTCCTGACTCCCTGAGGTCAGAGGGGAGGTCGCACCCTGGGCTCCACCCAGCTCCAGGAAGGCCTCTAGGACTTTTTTTTGTAAATCTGAAATCACTTCAAAAATTTTAAAGCTCTTGAATAACGTGTGATTTTTAAAAAGCACAATTAGGTCTGCTCTGCTGAGCACACAAGGCTGTTCTGAGACTCATAGGTAACAGACACCTTTTAAACTGTCCAGGAATGCAGACACAAAAGGCATCATTAGCACAAATAGGAATACGTCCAATGTCAAGATCAGTGGGGGCTGGGTGTGGTGGCTTGCGCCTGTAATCCCATCACTTTGGGAGGTCAAGGTGGGAGGATTGCTTGAGGCCAGGAGTTCAAGAACAGCCTGGGCAACTATTGAGACCTTGACTCTACCCCGCCCCCCCCAAAAAGCCGAACCTGGTGATGCGCACCTACAGCCCCAGCTACTAGGGAGGCTGAGGTGGAAGGGCTGTCTAAGTTCAGGAGGTGGAGGCTGTGGTGAGCTGCGATGGTGCCGCTGCACTCCAGCCTGGGTGACTGAGACAATGACTTAAAAAAAAAAAAAATCAGGCCGGGCTCGGTGGCTCAGCCTGTAATTCCAGCGCTTTGGGAGGCCGAGGTGAGCGGATTGCCTGAGCCCGTGGGTTCGAGACCTGCCCAGGCAACTTGGCGAGACCTCATCTCTACAATAAATCAAAAAATGAGCCGGGCGTGGTAGCACGCACCTGTAGTTCCAGCTCCTTGGAAGGCTGAGGCGGAAGGATCGCCGGAGCCTAGCAGGCGAGGCTGCGGTGGCCGGGAGCAGCCACTGCACTCCAGTCTGAGTGACAGAGTGAGACTCCCACTCAAAAGGAAAAAAAAAATCTGTGAGTCTGATGTCTTAAGTAAACAGAGAGAAAGTTATTTCCCCTGGAGGCTGAGGGGGCAGGACAGGGATTGCTGATTAGAGCCAGGAAAACACCATGGGTGGCACGCTTATGGCCACCGCAGCCTTGACCTGCTGGACTCAGGAGATCCTTCCACCTCGGCCTTCCAAATAGCTGGAATTACAGGCACACACCACCACACCCGGCTAATTTTTTTTTTGACTTATTGTAAAGAGGAGGTCTCACCAAGTTGCCCAGGATGGTCTCACACCCGTGAGCTTGGGCAATGCTCTCACCTCAGCCTCCCAAAGTGCTGGGATTATAGGCACAAGCCACCGTGCCCAGCCTCACTGTCTTCAACCACACTCCTTGGGCCATGTGTGGGCAAGACATGCGAACCACTTGTAAAATACCAAGAACAACAACTGTTAGGTGGGGTCAGAACACTCATCAGTGAGGTTGTCTGTAAGTGTAGATTGCACGCTCACCTCACTGGCTCTCTTGATTATTTTATCATCCACGTCTGTGACGCCCATCACCATGACAACGTTGCATCCAAAGACCTTGGTCAGGATCCTCCGAATGATATCAAATCTAACATAAGTGCTGAAAGAAAAAAAGGATGTTAGGATGCCTTCATACACAGTCACCACTGTCATCTCATTAAAAATGCATCCCACGTACCAATCTGCTCCGTGACCTCCCTGTCACGCAACTGGCAGTTCAAGCAGTTGAAGCCGTGCAAGGAAAAGCCTTTTCACTCACTGGTCACGGTCACCCGGCCCACAGGCCCTCGTGGGAAACTGACAACGGCGTGGCACCAACTTCAGGACACACTATTAGCATTTTTATTGCAGAGCTGTTACTTGTGTGAGCTGGCGTCTGTTTAATTGTACAAAATTCACATGTGCTACTTCAGTAGTTAACATACTGAGCGCTTTTGCCATTTGTATTCATTTTCTAGAGTAATTCTAACTTTTCACTAAGACGAAGCAAGACAGAAGCAAATAACAAGTCAAGACAAGCATGACCCCACAATGCTGCCGAGGACGTTCCTGGAGTGCCCGCCGCTGCAGAAGGGTCAGCGCTGCTGAACTTGATACCAAGACCCACTCATGTCCATCCATGTTGCCACAGCCCCTAGAGAAGGGCATGGCAAGGGTCTGAGCACTTTACTGAGAGTCCCCTTATCTTCTGTGTACTCCCAGTAAGTAGCTTCAGGGAATCCTTGTCTTCCCTGCAGTCGGCGCCCAAGGACGGAAATCCCTGCTTACACCCTTTCTCAACAGTCCTGGGTTTGAACAACATGGTGTCACCTCGTCGTCGGAAGCCCTGTGACCTGCACAGCTTTCGCAGTGCGTGATGTCTCAGGCCTTGTAAGCTTCCTTTACTCTAAATGTCACGACCTCGAAGTAGAATGCAGCTGTAACTGACGCTCCGTACCATACTCTGCTGGCCACGTGGCTGATGTCTAGGTACCCACAACTCTGGGCTATAAAAGTGGACTGCGAGGCCTGAGGGGGCAGAGCCATTGTAGAAAGACCTCGAGTTCGGCTCTGCTCCCTGGGTTCAAACTCAAATACGAACTTCACTCTACCAGTTCCCTGCCTGCCCCTTGATTTCTCGGTATCAAGGGTGAGCAGCCAAGCGTTCCTTGGAGCATAACATATTCACATACCACATGGGGCGACGCAGACTTCTACCACTAAAAGTGTTCAGATGGCAAGAATCAGGTGTCCTTTAAAAGCGGCCTTACAACTCAAGGTCAGTCAATGTCATGCTCATCCGTCACCCATGTGACCTCTCTAAATGTGAGTTCATGAAATCATTTTCCCTGGGTGGGGAAAACAAAACTTGGCCATGTTACTCTATCACTTCAACCGTCTGCCCACCCCAAACACACAAAGGCTGGCCAAGTCTCCATTCCAGGGACAGAACGATCTCCGAAACTCCCCATCGTCGAGACGTCGAACCTCTAAACGCCGCAGCCGACTTGCTTAAAAATGAGGCAAAACGCCACTAACCCACAGGCCGCGGTGTATGACCCAGTGCCTGTGCGGCCCAAACCCTCAACACACAGGCCGCCCTGCAACAGTCTCGAGATAGCAAAGGCCCTGCAAGAAATGAGATTCGAAAGAAACATGAACAGGAGCCCAGAGCCAGTGAGCGAAGAAGCAGTCCCATGTCTGGCCCAGAGGGGCAAGGCGGGCCCCGACCGCCTTTGGAAGCAGAGGGGCTGCAGCGCCTCCCGGGATGTGAAGGTTTGCGATGCTGGGGGTGGGCCGCAGGACGGGTGCCAGGAGACCCAGCTCCCTCTGGGATTCCACTGGCCTCCCGGGCCCATCAAGGGAGGGTGCCCACCTGCAGGACTGTCGAGACCACTCCAGCTGAGTCTTCAGGCCAACGCTGCCATGCGACTTTGGCCACCACGAGATAAAGCCCAACTCCTGGGGCCAGGGAACCCAGGCCTGCCCCAGCCTGGTCACAAACAGCCCCCACCCCTCCCTTCTCCTCCTGGTTTGACCCAAACAGAATCCGCACCCGCTGCCAACCTCTCCTGGAAACGGCAGAGGCCGTTTTTCAGGGTGCCTCTTTCTCCCCATGGCTTGGATTCTGCCTTGACACAGCGGGCCTGGTGTGGAGCCCCGCCCTGCCGGAGCCGAGGTCGCAAGACTGTGTCATGGTGAGCGAGTGCGCGGGTGCCGTGGAGGCGATCACAGATCTGAGAGGGAGGAGGGAAGACAGACCGCACACACGCATGTACACATGTACACACACATACACACAAGCATCAGGGCCGTCTGAGCCCACGACAGGCTGCTCCTCCCCATCACCATCTCAGAGAGGAAGATACAGGACTCAACACGGTGACTTGTCCAGGCTGGGAAGCAAATGACTGCTGAGGGCCAGGAAGGACTCCAGCTGGACTCCAGGACCCAGAGTGTGGCCCGGGCCGCAGTGGAAGGGCCAAGGGAGGGTTCCAGCTCCCACCATGCCTTCGGAAAGCCCCATGTGGCCAGACATTCCCACAGCTGCAGACTTGACACTCCTACTCAGAAAGAAGAGACCTCCCCCCATCTTGAGTTCTAGAATTTCTTTCTAAGCCCATGTCAGATGTATGGGACTCTTTTACATGGACGAATACGCCTCTTGCCAGTCGCACAACACACGTTTTCAAAGCCAGGAGCCACCTCTGTCATCGCGGAAGATGTCGCCCCATTTCCCACGTCTCAGGAGGAGACTAACTTGTCATGGAGTCCAAGTCGTGAAACTCCCCTGAAGGAATGGGTGGTGCTGCGGAACGCCACTTTCGTCCCCTCCAAATGCACGTGCTGGGATCAGGAAGTGGAGGGGAGAGCGCTCATGGCTGGGATCAGTGTCCTTGTGAAAGAGACCTCAGACAGCCCCTCCCCCTCCGCCACCTGAAGACACGTGGAGAGGAGCCTCGTGCCCAGGCTCCTCCCCTACCGAAACCAAACTGGATTATCCGTTTTCCCCCAGACAGAACTGGCACCCTCTCCAACCTCCCCTGGAAGTCAGAGGGTTTGATCTTCACTTCCCAGTGCGAGAGAGACGAGAAATAAATTTCTGTGCAGATAAGTCACCCAGTGACTTATGGTATTTCATGACAGCAGCCCAAGCGGACTGAAGGACAGGTAATACCCCCGAGGCTCTGTCAAAGCGGAAGATTTCTGTCCTTGCAATTATTTTAATGCATCCCATTCTGGTTCAATGTGCATTCAGTAAAAAGAAAACAACAACAAAAAAACAACTTTGTTTCCTCTTCTTCCTTTGTGGAGAGATTTTCCAGGTTGGGAGGAGATCGTATTAGTATTTTCCTGACATATTTTGTATGTCATTATGTTAGGAAAGATGTCAAAATAAGGCAGGGCACAGTGGCTCACGCCTATAATCCCAGCACTGTGGGAGGCCGGGGTGAGAGGACCGCCTGAGCTCACGGGTTCGAGACCAGCCTGGGCAACTTGGTGAGACCTCATCTCTGCAATAAACCAAAAACTGAGCCGGACACGGTGGCGTGTGCCTGTAGTTCCAGCTCCTTGGAGAGCTGAGGTGGAAGGACTGCCTGAGTCCAGCAGGTGGAGGCCAGGGTGGCCGTGAGTGTGCCACTGCCCTCCAGCGGGGGCCACAGTGAGACTCCCCTTAAAAAAAAAAAAAGTCAAAATATGCTTTCGACAGTCAACAATATGTTCACCTAAGGTGAAGAAAAAAATGGCTCCGTTTTATCCAAGCTTGCTGTGACGTATAATTTTCTTAAAAAGTGTAGAGCAAACATAACTTTTTACTTTGAGCCTGGGCCCGAAGAACGCCAGGCTTGCAAGCTGTGCCAGGGGGCCTTTAGTCCCTTCAGCGTGGGAAGCAAACGCCGCGGGAAAAACGGCGTCGTGGCGGCAGTGCGAGGCGGCACCTCTTGCGCCCACGGGGCCACGAGGCCCGCGCCCAGGAGTCAGGCGGGCCAGCCCC